TGTGTGTGTGTGGGTGGAGGACAGCGCAGCATCTGTGGTTCCTCTGGGCAGCAAAGAAGGAGCTGCTTCGTTGTGGAGATGGTGGTGTGGACCTCGTGGTGGCAGAACTGCTGAGAGTCCTTCCAGGTTGAAGGACCTGTAACTCACAGGATAGCTGATGCCTCCCTTGTAAGTAGTTGCTTGTTTAAGCTGCTGGGCCAGAGATCATTTGTTGCCAAACACAAACAGCAGGTCAGGAGTGGAGGCTGACCCGTTACTGCCCAAATTGTCAGTTTGCTTCTATCCAATTTTGGTTTGCAAGACTATTTTTTGAACTGATAAAAGAGTATGATATTTTAAAATACCTGGGCTTGAGTGGGTGCAGCAGGGAGATCTGACCTCCTGCGGATGCTTGTGATTGTTCTCCCAGGCAGCTGTTTGTGGACGAGGTCAGGCCTAACATGCACTGCATTTCCCAGTGGGCTCAGTACAGAAATATTTGAATTCTTAAACACAAGTAACTTAATTTAATTTAATTGAATTCTTAAACATGAGTAATTAAATTAATTAATTAATTAAATTTATTTCTTTTCTTTTGTGACCAGCCCAGCCCATCATGTGGGTGGATAGGGCTGGTGCAGCATGTGATGCCTAGGATTGAACCATGGGGCCTGTACTTTTCCTAAGCTTGCCTAAGCATGCACGTTAGACTGCTGAGCTCTCTCATCAGCCCTATCTGCTTTTCTTTTCATTGAATTGTCTATCAAGTGTAACAATTATGCACACATTGTTCACATTATTAAATATATCTGATTTGAGATTAAAATTTTAAAATAACTGACTCCATAGAAATGTCTACTATTATCATAGGTTTCTTTGTTTATATGAAGTGTCATTGGAATAGCTTCGTAATAGCACAGCGCTATTGCATAGGGACAGCTGAGCAAATAAACATGTGGATCAACTCATTGGTTTCTGTGTGTTTGTGGCTTGCACAAAATCCCAAAGCAATTTCACTGAACCATTTGGGAGACTTGTAGTTAAAAAAACAAAGAGTTCTTACTTTGGAAGTAAACTGATAACTGCCCTACTTTCTCTCCTGATTTATCTACCTGTGTACTTCTTCAGCCATCTAACCATTTACTAGTTTATACTTCAAAATCACAGAAGAAGATTCAGACCTTTGGGTATTCATGACATGTAATTTAGACAAATAGGAAAAGTATCTACAAAGGCTAGAAAAATGAATTCTGGTACTTAACCATGAAACACAATTTAATTTTGCATGGTTGTCATAATTCTGCTGCCCATTTGTAGAGAGAAACACACTATTGTGGGTGTCCAAAAGCATACACTGAGATTTTTGAATAACTTTATAGAAGCGTAATTTACACACCATCCACTTCATGCATTTTAAGTGTAAATTCAGTCATATTTTTACATATTTACAGCCTTGTGCAGCCATTACCACAGTCCATTTATGGAACATTCCCATCACCACATTTCCACTGTCACTCCCAGGAAACCACTAATCTGCTGTCTGTCTTTTTGTGAAGATTCCACATAAACAGGAACATGTGTTCTTTTGCATCTGACTTCACTCAATAAGTTTTATGAATTTGTCTCTCTTGTAACATGTACAAACCAGTAGTAGATTTCCCTCCCTTCATCCTTCCCTCCCTCCCTCATTTTGTTCCTTTTCTTTTATTCCCTCCCTCCCCTTTTCCTTTTCTAAGTAGTATTTCATTACTGTTAGCCCATTAGTGTTATAACAAAATACTTGAGTCTGAGAAATTTATTAAATGCATACTTTTTTTACAGTTGCAGACATTGTGATGTCTAAGGTGCCGCAAACTTGGTGCCTGGTGAGGACCACTTGCATCTAAGACAGTGCCTTGTTAGTGTGTCATCACATGGTGAAAAGTGGAAGGGCAAGGAGTCCTAGCTAATTCTTTCGAGCCATTTGATAAGACCACTGTTTCTGTTACTGATAATTTTTACTAAAAAGTTAATTTCTTAACATTGTTGACCTCAGGATTTAAGATTCAAAATGAATCTTGGAAATGATTCATTGAAATTATTACATTTTTTCCCAGCTCCCATTATCCATTCCCCTTGCACATGCAATATACCGTCATTTTATCTTAATGCCTCCAAAAGTGTTAATGTGTTCTATTACCAAGTTAAAATTCAACAAGGTGAACATTAAGCACTGCGGCTTGAGGATAATTTTCTTTGACCCATGCCATAACTTTGGAAGTACTGAGTGGAGTTGGAATCTGAGGTTCTAGACAGTCTCATGGCTCTTCTAGTTACAGGCTACACAACTGCCTGCCCAAGTTGTTGCTTGGTGGCTGCAGTGTCCTGCCCTCGCATTGTACACTGTGGCTTGTCCAAGGAGGGTCTGGGGAAGTTACTGATGAGGCACTGCCTCATCTGGGGCTCCATCTCTGTGGCTCCTCTTTCTGGCTCCATGACTCTCCAGATGCCCTTCGAAACCTCTGCAACATTCCAGCTCAGCTCATGGATTCTGCACAGCGGTAGAATTTGCACCGTGTGAATGCTGCTAAGGTGATCATTTATTTCCTCTGGAATAGCAGCCTGATCCATGCTTGGGCCTGCTGGAGATGCCGTTGTGCCCTTGAGCCATTGTGTTACATATTTGTGGTAGCTCAGGGAAAACCTACCAGAATGCACAAACCCAGAACCCCACCAACACCTGGCCCCTTTCTTGAAATTGTTCTACCTCAGGCACTGGTACTCTTGGCCTGGTATGGCAATCTCAAAGATTTCTTAAAGGCCTACATTCCATTTTCTCCATAAATAACATCCGGCTTTCTTCTATTCAGATTAATTCCCACCCTTTGTGTTTTATACAGCAGATCATTTTTATTCTACACAATCTGGTGAGGCTGAAAATTTTTAAATCTTTATGCTCTGCTGCTTTTTGGGTTAGAAATGTTGCTTTGAATCCATTTCTGTCTTTTCTCAATTTAGCATACTGTCATGAGATGCCATTCAGTATGTCATACTGCCAAGTATTCTAGCACATCCTTCTAGCTATGCATGTACTGCATATTCTAGCTATCTTTGTGTGTTACCCAAGAAATTTAGTCTACTTATTTTACATGATCCTGAAATATACATTGTTGTACTTTGGTTAGCATTTTTGGGAACTATTAATCAAAAAAAAGACTATGTGTGGTTAGTAGTATAGAATGAATAGAAAACCTTAACATATTTCTCTGGGAAAAATATTCTCATGTATGAAAGACTAGTTATTAAATAGCTTTATGAGGTAACTTTGATTTCAAAAGAATAATGATGAGAAAAAATTGTATCCAGTTTGCACGTTTTAATTCTAATGCATATTTTTTCTTCAGCATTTGTGGAATCCAGCATCTGGAACGAATAGGCAAGAAGCTAAATCTCTTTGACTCTCTCTATTTTTGCATTGTGACATTTTCAACTGTGGGCTTTGGTGATGTCACTCCTGAAACGTGGTCCTCCAAGCTCTTCGTGGTTGCCATGATCTGTGTTGCTCTTGTGGTTCTTCCAATACAGGTAAGATAACCTTGTTAAATTTTATAGTCACATACAGTCATAACATTGAATATTTTATATTTAATAAGAATACAGGGTAGTTTACTGAGATAACAACAATATACTAGCACATGCTATTAGTATATTTGATTATTGTAGAGTATATAACTGTATTAACGTGAAAATTTAACTGTAAATTTTAGGATAATAGACTAAGGAAATACTTCATTTCACATCACTGTTGAAAATACATGAACAGACAAGTTTTAAAAATTTATTATCTATATTGATCAACTAAGAGAACATGTGGATGTAATATGCAAACACTATGCAGCACTTTGAGCAATAAGAGATGTTGCAAAGGGACAGCATTAGAAAATGTGACTCTACCTAAGTAGAAGCAATTTCCAGCCCTTTCTTGTAGTGAGCCCTGGGTGCTCGTGAGTGAGCAAGTCAGAAATCAGATATAGCCAGCACTAATTATACTTGCATGGAGATTACACAGTTTGACTGTGGGGCACTTAAATGTACCCTGGTAGGCCCAAAGCTGATTGGCCCACTCTGATGCCTTTTTTCCTCCCTAGAGCCCACCCCTGTGCCCTGGTGCATACTACTGTACAGCTCAAAGGCAGCCTTGGGCATGGTAAGGTTTTCTTCCACAGCAGGACAAGTAGGCAGAACACAAGAAACAAATGTGGAGAAATACCTCCGAGGCCTTTTTGCATTGCTCAGCACACGATGACTTACCCTATCACGCTGCACACAGAGCGGATGCACAAAGCCATTAGTGACCTGATATAATATATTAGCAACATCATTTTAATATGTTTCCTGAATGACCTGAAGCCCCTGGGGCACATTTATAGCCTTTGCAGAAATGAAAGAAGTCTGTAGAAGGTATCACTGATCTTTTGAATCTCAAAGAATATCTAAGAAAGTTTAAATACCTTATAGTAGACTATTGCACTGGTTTTCTTAAAAAAATTCTCATGTCTGGTGTTTTTATTCACTTGTAAAAAATGCTTTGCAGTTTGAACAGTTGGCATATTTGTGGATGGAGAGACAAAAGTCAGGTGGAAATTATAGTCGGCACAGAGCACAGACTGAAAAGCATGTTGTTCTTTGTGTCAGTTCACTGAAGATTGATTTGCTCATGGATTTTTTAAATGAATTCTATGCTCACCCAAGACTACAGGTATGTTTGAATTATATTATGCGCAATGCTAGATCAAACCTCCCCACATATTGTCAAGGTCAGTTAACTAACAGGGGCGCCTCATTCCGTAGAACTTGTTTTTCATGCAGCCAATTTAGAAAGAATAAATGAATGGCAAATATAACCAGGCACATAGAAAAAATGCTGGAAGAATAAATGGTATAAGTTTCCTTCTGTATCTACACTAAAAGACAGATGGAATCATGTTCATGTTGGAAAGAAAAAAAATTCTTTGAAATAAAGGATTGCTTTTATCTCTGGGTAAAGCATAAATGGTATTTTTATGAAACATTGAATTTTAACATAAAATATATTAAAACAATGAAGAAATCATTTCAATATCATCTGCTCACTTGAGCACTGCCGACTTATATAAAGTATTGGCTATGGAAATGTGGAAGTCTAGAATTTCTATTTTTTATTTGTTTCCTGGAGTGTAACTAGGTGTTATTTAGAAAAGCAGTAATAACCAAAAGTTGGACAGTAACAGGTGAAAATAAGAGGTTAGCTCTTCATTTGTTTCTGTAGATAAAGCCTTGGCACTTCTGCTTTCCATGATTCGTGGGGCAATGTCGATTTAGGTAGACTTCTTTCCTGCTAATGTAGTTGACCAGATACAAAAACAAAGAGTAGCATTGTATTTCCTCAACAATTTTGTGTCAAGAGATTGAATAGGCCGGGTAGATGGCTCAGTGGAATAAGCGCTTTCCTGGCAAATGCAAGGGTCTGAGTTCAATCCCCAGTTCCGAAAAAGAAAAAAAAAAAAAAAAAAAAAAAAAAAAAAGAAAAGTGATTGAATAATTCCAGATCAAGACATTGCAGAAGATATCTAGTTATCTTTGCCCTGTAGAGTATAATGAATATTTTGGAAACCAGTAAAGATAGTATAATTTTGTATTTTAAAAATCTAATTTATTAATGATACCACATTATATATTTGTCTTTATACAAATTCATTTGTGTTCTTCCTTCATTTTTTGGATTTTTTTTTTTTTGAGGAACCAAGGATAGACTCTTGCCTAGGCAAGCGCTTATTCTATCAAGCTATCTCCCCATCCCCTATATTTTGGATATATTTAACACTTTTTATAAGGTCTAGTTTATTCATTTTAAGCCGTCAGAATGTATTTTTTAGGGAAAATATTGATTCAACATTAACTAACTTTGTCTAGGACGTATAGAGAGAATTGTTAAAACTCTCAAGACTTCCACTAAGCATAGTCCATTTCAATAAAATGATGAATGTACAGTGGAAAAATTCTATTGCTATAGATTAGTTTGTTTCAGTTAATTTTGTCATTTAGAATACTTTTGTATTTTCTCCCCAGGTCCATATGTTTTAAATATTTTGATTTCAAATTCTTTTATTTACATTGTTAGTATGTTGAATGTTTTTATGCATTCTTACTCAAATACTCATCAATAATTATTGAAGGGCCAGGGAGATGGCTCAGTAGAATAAGCGCTTGCCTGGCAAGCACAAGGGCCTGAGTTCAATCGCTGGTTCCACCAAAAAAAAATTATTGAAGATCACCAATTCATAATGTTAACATATTTATGGGTAAATTACCAACACTGTTTGTTTGTTCCTTTGTTTTACTTTACTGTTGATTTAACTCAGGTTTGAACCAATGCTAGTTAAGTGCTCTTCTATTGGCTCCTCACATTGTTGATTTTAATGAATAGATGAAAATTTTAAGCATGGAGTGATTCTTGAACACTTCTGTTGTATATGCAAAGTATATTTTAGGTTGAGTTTTTATTACTAAACACTGTACCTGAAAGAGTACTTAAACTATAATAGCTGATCACTTACCTGTATGATACAAACTTATTACAAAGAGTTAGAATCAATAATTTTTGAGATTTGTGTATATCTCAGTTTTATTTATTTTACTGCAATTATATTCAATATATACTTGTTTTAAATGTGATTATTTTTCAGTACAGAGGTTTGAACATGAACATTTCACAGGACTGAGGATTAAACTACATCCTCAGCTCTTTTTCTATTTTTAGTAGAGAAATGGTTTCTGCAAATTTCTAAGTTGCCCACCTGCCCCAGAACTTGTTATCTTTTTTCTTTAGATTCCAAAAATGTTGGGATTACAGGTACGTACTGCCACACCTGCCTTATATGAAAACTTTTATTCATTAAAGTTTATTTCAATTTAACATTTATATTTCAAAAATTCTTCAAAATATTCTTAAGTATTTTATTTACCTATGTGGGATTAGATAAAACCTTATTGTTTCTGTTACACTGCCCTCTTTGCTTTAAATAGGATTATTATGTGGTGATCTTGTGTCCTACTGAGATGGATGTGCAGGTTCGAAGGGTGCTACAGATTCCAATGTGGTCCCAAAGAGTCATCTACCTTCAAGGGTCAGCCCTTAAAGACCAGGACCTATTGCGAGCAAAGTAGGTACCCTTGCCTATTTTCTATCTTTCACAATTTTGAGTGAGTGCTTAATATAATTTTTCATCATCATACGGTAGTAATTTTCAGTGTTGCAAAATTTGTTTTGCTATATTCGAGTACAGCATTTAGCCTGACTTTCATTATTGGTCAAATTAAAATTTTAGAAAAACAAAACCAGGGCCAGAGAGGTGGCTGAGTGGAATAAGCACTTCCCTGGCAAGTGCAAGGGCCTGAGTTCAATCCCCAGTCCCCACCACACACCACTGCAAAAAAAAAAAAAAAAAGAAAAAGAAAACAAAACCAGTGTATTTATTCATCATTCTCAGCATTGTGAGAGGATGCAAATGGTCCACAGATTGTGTCCCCATGGTGCAGGAAGTGCAACATGCTGTAGTTATCTCTGTTGTCCTAGATGGGCAGAGGTGTCCAGATTCACTTTTACTAGCATAGGTGATAACATCTTCAATACCACTTTTTTCCACAGATCAAAAGCTTGGACTGAGCATTATGTGAGATATTAAAATAAAGACCTAGGGTTTAAATTTAAAGAGTGAGAAATATGAACTAAGCAGATAGTAATTATGTTTCCTGGGGTTAGAGATAAAAGAATCCTGGCAGCTGGAAGAATCAGGAAAGGAAGAGGTCCCACTGAGCTGCCCCTTTGGCATTGTGCATATGTCAGCCTACATGATGTGGTTCAGCAGTCTTAACCACTGGCCACAGGGTATGGAGGTCATACCACATGAGCAGTGTAAAAGCATGGAAGGCAAACCTGTGGCTGTCAGGAAATCAGGACTTTGGTAAAATAACACATTTAGTTCACAAACCAGAAATCCTTAGTAGTAGTAGAAAATGGTTTTGCTAAATGATTTGTTTCTTTTAAAGTTTTAAACATATCTTCATGTTTATCTTTAAGATGTCCTATGTGTTCTTAAAGGGGAGATTTAAAAGTCTCCCAAAATTTGAAATTTTCTTCCTACTGAGATGGATATACAGGTTTGAAGGGTTGTGTCCTATCCTACTGAGATGAATCTGCAGGTTCAATTTTTTCTTCCTTTCCCTCTCCTTTCCTCCCTTTCCCTCCCCTTCCCATACCTTCCCTTCTTGTCTTCCTTTTATTTCTTTTTTTAAGTTGCCTGTATATGTGTGTATATTGTGCATACTGTGATTTATGCAAGTTTTCTCCATTGGCTCTGAGTGTGTGTGTGTGCGTGTGTGTGTCTGGGTGTGTGTGTAAGGAAAGCAAAATGCACTTTGTACAATGGATGACCTAGTAGTCAGAACTTCAAAATTATATCTGAGAGAGAAATATTAAAGCCAATATAGCTTGGGAATTTTTCAGTGATTTTTCTCTCTGAAAAAAATGTCATCCCTAACTATTAGGACTTAATAAATAGTATATAACTGATATAATATTTCTGAAATGATGTTAAAGTTTTTGGTGGATGAAACATTTTTTAATATATGTTGCCATTGTATATAAGAATGTTCTATACATTTTCAGATGTTTCTAGTACTTTAGATTAACCTTTGCTTTGGGTGTTTATGATTTGTTGTTTTTACCATACTTTAGTGCCCTAGAAAAACATTTGCTTAGATATTAATATAATCTGGACCTTTATATTTATTTGCATGGATACTTATTTATGCTTAATTCGTTGTGTGAATTATGCTCTCATAATAAACATGTGTAATGTCCATAACATTTTTTGTATGAATATGTGTAACACAGGGAAGCTTTTTCTAAGAAATTAATCTGAGCTATTAATATCTAAACTGGAAGCTATATTAGGATTAACATACTAATTTATTATTAGTAGTATTAAAAGGATTTCTCACCAAAGTCAGTCATACTTAAAGGAAATAGTCCTTCATAGAAATAAAAGAGAAATAGTGAAAGAGAAGAAAGGGAGGGAAGGAGGGAGAGAGAGAGAGAGAGAGAGAGAGAGAGAGAGAGAGAGAGAGAGAGGGAAAGAAAGTACAAAGATAACCAAGAGGTATCCAGCTTCTAATACTTCAGAAATTAATACCCTAATTAAATTAATACCCAAATTAATACCCTAATTTCATCCAGGAGACTTGGGATTTAATATTAACTAATACATTCTTCAACACACCTCCCCATGCAAGGAATAAGGAATAGAATTCTCCAAACAAATTCCAAAGGTCAGCTGCATGAGTTTTGAATTGCTTTGTTGAGAAAATGATGTTTAGAAAGTGTTAGCCAATACACATTATCCTTGGGTGCATGACTCAACATTCTTCAGAACTGTTTGGTTTGGATTAATTTCGTGGACATTTTATCTTTCCATACAAATGTTTTTTTAGAAAGGGTTTATTTTATCACAATTTACCAGAATGTTAAATCATATCCTCATTTTGAAAAGAAACATTCCTATGCTAATAAAATATTATTTTCTATGCACCAAGACTTATTTTTTTATCATGAAGTTTAGGAAATATAGATTGTTAGCACGAGGGGAAGGGGTTTGGAACAAGAAAATGCACATCTATAGCAAATATGAGTATACAGGAGGGTTTGATTTATGAATACAGAGCAGTACTATAACCTCTCATGGTTTAACTGAAGAATGATGTTGCAATGCAATTAATCACGAAATACAGACCAACAACCCTTCTTAATTTATGCAAAGCTCCTAAGTGAAAACATACAATCAGGAAAGACAATAACAATTTTTTTTTGCTTTGTTCGTAAACTACAGTAATATATATTCCAGCAAAAGTTTTGGCCAGTATCAAATATAGCCATGATCTGCTAGAAATTCAATTTTTATTTAAGCAAAGGACACACATATTCTCCATGTAGCATATGCACCCAGGGTTAAAAATCTTGCCTTTTCAGCCAATCTATAGCCATTTTGGTGTGAGACTGTTCTGTTTCTCTGTCCGTATCTAGGATGGATGATGCTGAAGCCTGCTTTATTCTGAGCAGCCGCTGTGAGGTGGACCGAACTTCATCGGTAAGTTTCTAGCATCTCCCTTAGAAAATTATGTGGCTCACACAGGAGAAGGTGTTTGTTAATTTGATTTAAAAAAATTTACCCATAGTTAGTATTGGCAGACTGAAAACTTCTCTAAAGGTTAGAAAATCTTGCTTAACTAAATGGTCATAATGTAAGATAAATTGTGCTGCTGTCTGTTGAGCGAGATATTCTTTTTTTTTTTCTTGGAACTGGGGATTGAACTCAGGCCCTTGCGCTTGCCAGGGAAGCGCTTATTCCACTGAGCCATCTCCCCGGCCCCCAAGTGAGATATTCTTGAAGTAAGTTCTGCTCATCTAATTTTCTGCAGATCCAAATGAAAACAGAACTAGGTCATTTTTATTATGCATACTAGACATGTACTACATGTTGTTTGTTTGCTTGTCTATTTATTTATTTATTTATTTATTTATTTATTTATTTATTACCAGAGATTGAATTCAGGACCTTATGTTTTGCCAAACAGGCATGCTTAAGCCACTGGGCTATCTCCTTGGCCCTTTAAATTACACATGTAATTTAAAGTGGTCTCAATTTCCTCTCTAAACCAAGGCAGAAGGATTAAGCAGTCTGCATTAGAATCACCTGGAGAGTATCTAACAAATACACATTTGCAGAAACTCTATTCAAGACATCAGGGGTGGGGATCAGGAACCTGTATATTTTAAACAGATTCTCAGATGATTGTGAAATACATCCGATTTTGGTAACATTTGAGTTACAGGGTCTTTCTGATGTATTTTTTATTTTTTATTTTTTTTAGGTTCTAAGTTCTAAAGCCTTATAGTTAAATAACTTACTAAATTTAACTTACATTATTAATATAGATTTTATATTATTTTATTTTTTTGTATTTTTTGGAAAGGTCTACACGGTATTCAGGGTCTCATAGATCGGACTCATAGTGATCTGCCTTTTTACAGCCTCCCAAGAACTGGGATTACAGGCATGCGCCACCATGCCCAGTCTCAATTGCATTCTCAGTGTGCCCCGGGGGCAGGGCCAGCATAGCAGGCCCCGGGGATCTAAACCCCAGTCCCTGCACCTGCTTACAGGTGCTTTAATCTGCTGAGCTATTTGACAAGCCCCCTATTAATATATATTTTAGAATGCTTTTTTACTTTAAATACTGTTACTTAATGCATTACTAAACCAATAGGCTGATCTGAGCAATATCTGTGGTGTTCAGATAAAAGAGGACCCCTTGATAGCTATATATCTATTATATATGTAATTTTAGATCATTTTTGACCAAGTGGGCATACTGTGTTATACTATAACATTCTTGAATGTGACAAACTCTGTGATTTCCTCACTCTACCCAAACTCCTTAGTCATTTTTATAAATTTGGGACCAATATTCTCATCTTTCATTTGAGTAAGTCTAGTATGGGTTGAATTCTTTCCCCTAGGATTCATCCGTTGCAGTATCAACAACCGTTACCTCAGAAGGTGAGACAGTGTTTTAGAGATAGTGCTCTGGAGATAAGATTTTGGCAGTGCCATTTTAAGAGATACACTCTTTCAAATATATGAAGTGATTAGAATGAACCTTCCTCCAGTATGACTAATATCTGATAAAAGGACATGTTTGAGAGCAGTATACAGGGACAACTCCAAATGAACACGAGGCAGCCAAAGTGAAAGGCTTGGTACAGATTTTTCTTCACAGATATGAGTAGGCATCAAGTTTGCCAGTGCCTTAAATTCATATATCCAGTGTCTACAGCTGTGAGGCAGTAAGTTCCATTATTTCAGCCTCCCAGTTTGAAATACTGTGTTATTGCAGCCTCAGAGATCAAATAATTGGGCATCAACCAAAGAAGTGATGGGAAAAGTAATAAAAAAGTATTTTGTGAAAACAATTTATTTAAAGCATCATTACTCTTCCTTTTCTACATTTACTTCTTTAATTTAGACCACATACTCTGCAGTTCATTTGGGAATATTTCAGTAGTTTCTTAATTTTTTTTTGTAATGGATGCTCTGAACATTTTCTATCAAAATGTGCTTGATCTGAAGATATTTATAAATATTATGTTTCTAAAATCAGTTGATTTACATAATTGTGAATGTTGTGCCTTTCAAATGAGGAAGTTTCTTTTAAAAGTACTTGTAGTCTTCAGTCCCTTTAATGCTTCAAACAGTAATGGAAGTATAAGCCTTAGGAAATAAATACATATTAGTTTCTTGAATACCCTTTCAATATGAACTTGCAAGCTTCTAGGTGTACAAATGCATTCGATTTCTTCTTGGCACTCTACAAAATTGACTGGAAATGGATAAAATTGACTGGAATGGAGATTCAGATCTTGAAGATGAAGGGTCTGATAATTTTGGAAGGCAGAGAGCAGGTAGACAGGAGTCACAGTGGCTCAGCCAGAAGGAAGTTGGAACTCAGGTGAGGAGAATAAGCAAATCAGAAGCGAGCTATTTTCTGCACTAGGAATTCAGAAGGTCCAGAAAACAGAGGCACCATGAGAGTAGGGTAAAGAGTACAATTACACATATGAAAAACAATTAAAACTTTGTAAGGGATCTGCTTATGATTTCTCCAGATATTCCATTTTTATAAAATTGAAAATTAAATTGCTAGTTACTTTCCCAAACTGGGAAAAGAGGTTTGCTATTGGGGTCCATTGATCCAGAGAATCTCTCTGAGAGCATTAAGTGCTACTGTCTATTTGACTAGATTAAGAACGTCTACTAGATTAGTAAATTGCACTTCGGCTTATGCCTGTCAAGTGTTTCTAGAGATAGTTGGCTCGGAGGCTCCCTAGCTGCACCGGAAGAGGAAGAAAGCCATACCCTAACTGTGAGCAGCAACAACTCATAGGCTTCATCCTAAATGAAATAAAAGGGTAACTCAGCCTTCCTTTGGAAAGCTGTTTTGTTGGAGTGGGGACATTTTCATATTATCTTTGCTTATAGACATCAGATTAGTTTTTTCAGCCTTTTAATATAGACTCATGCCAGACGCTCTTCAGGAAGCTTCCAGGCCTGCAGTTCAGGACTTGTTTAGCATCATTGATCCTTCTTGTTCTGTGAAGAGATTCTGCATCCTTTGTCCTTGAAGTGAACACATCATGACCGGTGTGCACTATCATGTCTCAGATCCTAGCTTATCTAATAAGTCCTGTAAGCTATATAATAAATAGATGATAGATAGATGATAGATGATAGATAGATAGATAGATAGATAGATAGATAGATAGATACTGTTCCTCAATTGATTCTGTTCTAGAAAACCTAACAAACAGAATGTCTTTGCAGAAACAGTAGGTATACTTGAGGGTCTAGGTACATTCTAATTCTAATTTTAATTTTATCTGGGTACATTCTAAAATTAGGAAAATTGAGAATAAGTGCACTCACTGATTGTGACCTGCTTCTCCCAGATGGTCCTCAGAACCTTCACAGGCATACTCACATCTCTAGCACCACAAAATTGCAGGGATTTTCTCTGTTATGGAGAATTGTCTATCACAAAAGAAAGAAGTGTGCATGTATGTGTGTGTGTGTATTCATACAAAGAAACTAAGCAAGGATTTTTTTGGTCATAGAGTATTTTGGTCTGAGGAACATGAGGAGGATATCATTGGGTGCTGGTAATTTCATAGAGTTTTACATCTTGAATGAAAGTTTAAAGAAGGAGAAAATATATGTACTATCCATCAGTGCCATTAAATATACTGCATTTCTGCTCCTTTGGTAGAGAGTGGAGAATTTCTTACCTTCGTGTGTTTGTCTGTGTACAACCTCATGAAAAATCTCTATAGCCAGAGATTTCTAAGAGACAGAAATATTCAAGAAATTATTAGCAAATGGACTGAAGAATTCTAGTGTGCCCTTCTCTGAATATTTCTATAGACTATCAATTATCTTTCTAAAAAACATCCTTTCCTGCAGTTGGGCATTATCATTCTCACAAAAAAGATATATTTAGAACGCATATACAAAACTAGAAAAATTAAGCATTGTTAAATAGCTAACCATGTTAGCAAAAAGAACTCTGTATTGCTTGGTAATGAATATGCATACATGTTATTTATTGGTTGAGGAACTTGAGGAACATGCCGGTGTCCTCCTCAATGTAAGCAATACTATACTACACTTTCACTAAGATGAGTAAAATAATTTTAACACTTCCCACCCAGCACTTGGTTTAAATTCACTCAGGAGAGTTAAAAGGGCTGCTCTTTGATTTTCCTCAAAATAATGAACAGCTTACAAAATATCTAGGCCAGGTTTATTTTTAAAATTTCTATTATATTATTGTTTTTTTTTTTTTTCATTTTCTCTGTAGTGAATACCTGGGGGTATGGCCCAGACAAATCGCTTTAGTTGCCTTTCTTATTAAGTAAGGTGTTCCACTCGGGAGGTAGGTAAATGCAGAGAAAACAGTTCCTCATTAAGATTCCTCAATAGTGCTGTCATTTAATTATTTTACAATCATTATGCTTTTAATTTTTGTTTTCATTTTTAGAAAAATAAACTCATTTGCCTTTGATTATGATCAAGTCAGTGTCATGGTCGCTTCTAACTCCTTCCAGTACATAGTGAATGTCCTGTACTAGCCTTGGAGTTTGCACTTTTGATGTGTTCTCACCTGTTGGGATATCCTCCAGTTAGCTGAGTCTTCTCAATTTTGATTAAGTTTGCTCACGTTATGTAACCCAGCCTTCTGAAAGCTTTTAGGGCATTCCTTGGGGAAACATTTTCACCATCCTACAGAGCATAGTAGTCAGAGCTCATTCTTATGTTGTGCACTCTTCAACATGGGTAGAAATTTTGTTAAAATGAATTGGAAAAATTTATAGGTTTATATTTGACCTACACCATTTATTTTAAAATAACTGAGCAAAAATATAAGATCAATTATTTGAATCTTTGAGAAATACTCATGAAAGTAGTTGCAAGCGAGCAAGAAACTTTTCTTCCCTTGGTTTCAATTCCAAGGATAAATATATGATGTCAAT